GCGGTTGTAAAGCCAGAAATCCTCTGTGGCGATTGTATAGTCAGAAACCCACTGTGGCGATTGTAAAGACAGAAACCAACTGTGGCGATTGTATAGCCAGGAACCCACTGTGGCTATTGCAAAGCCAGAAACCCCCTGTGGCGGTTGTAAAGCCAGAAATCCTCAGTGGCAATTGTATAGTCAGAAACCCACTGTGGCGATTGGGGGGCCAGAAACCAACTGTGGCGATTGTATAGCCAGGAACCCACTGTGGCTATTGCAAAGCCAGAAACCCACTGTGGCGATTGTAAAGCCAGAAACCAACTGTGGCTATTGTATAGCCAGAAACCCACTGTGGCGATGGTATAGCCAGAAATCCTCTGTGGCGATTGTATAGTCAGAAACCCACTGTGGCGATTGTATAGCCACAAACCCACTGAGGCGATTGTATAGCCAGAAATCCACTGTGGCAATTGTAAAACCCACTGTGGAGGTTGTAAAGCCAGAAACCCACTGTGGCGATTGTAAAGCCAGAAACCACCTGTGGCGATTGTATAGCCAGGAACCCACTGTGGCTATTGCCAAGCCAGAAACCCACTGTGGCGGTTGTAAAGCCAGAAATCCTCTGTGGCGATTGTATAGTCAGAAACCCACTGTGGCGATTGTAAAGCCAGAAATCCACTGTGGCAATTGTATAGCCAGAAACCCACTGTGGCAATTGTATAGTCAGAAACCCTCTGTGGCAATTGTATAGCAAGAAACCAACTGTGGCGATTGTATAGCCAGGAACCCACTGTGGCTATTGCCAAGCCAGAAACCCACTGTGGCGGTTGTAAAGCCAGAAACCCTCTGTGGCGATTGTATAGCAAGAAACCAACTGTGGCGATTGTATAGCCAGAAAGCCACTGTGGCGATTGTATAGCCAGAAACCATCTGTGGCGATTGTATAGCCAGAAACCCACTGTGGCGATTGTATAGACAGAAATTCACGGTGGCGATTGTATAGCCAGAAACCTTAAAACGAACCTACTGCTCTTGCGAAAAAAGAAACAAAATGGCCAAATGGAACTCTAGTTACAACGTCAAATGACTCAGCTTATCAGAGGTCATGTTTTGAAATACCAGTTACTGCAAGTCTTAGTACAGTAATAATACTGTTTAAATAATGTTTTTTGTTATCTGCTTAAATCACAATACCCCAGGGAATACGGTTTTTCGTTCACTCTCCAAAAGTAGGGAATTGTTTCTCTTCCACCTCTGAAGATTTCACGACAACTATTTCTTTTTTCCAGTATAAAGGCGAGGAATTTCCCAGTCATTGCAATCATAACATTTGTATGACCTCATGATGTTATGCTATATTTTGTTCTAGTGTGTACATTGTGTAGGGTATTTTGTCCTTGCGTATGGACGTTGTGGTATACTTTGTTCTGGTGTGTACATTGTGTAGGGTATTTTGTCCTTGCGTATGGATGTTATGGTATACTTTGTTCTGGTGTGCTGATGCTTGGCAGCCAGTTTCACCCAACATTGGCTACGGCTTGGGTTCTATCGCTTTAACGACTGCGAATTTGGGGATGCTATTCAATAACATTAAAAACAAGAAATGAACAAATATGACATTTTGTACAGCCCTTCCTGGAATAAGTAATCGGTAAAAAGGTCATATATCACATGTATTTACACCGATATGAATCTAAAACATCTTTCCATTCCTATTTTACAAAAGTCAAGCATTATTTAAATCTATACCATATAGCCTGATTTTTTTCTTCAGAATAATGTCGATGTCAGCTGTTGTCAAACATTATTATGTATAATACTCCAACATAAGAACATTTGATCGATCCTCATTCGTAACCGGTTTTTTTGTTCAGGAATCACATTACTGTGACTCAAAAAATTAGAATTAGTAAATGTGTAATTTGTGTTGATATCGGTATGATGTCCCTGTAACTTTAAAAACTCCTTTAAATATATCGGCACGTAATATGGTGTCACTGTTGAAATTAAAGTCCAGGCTGTGAAATGTATGCAGAGAGCGTCGCTCTATAGAAAGTTCACAAGACCATCTGTGACGTAAGCGTCTTTTAAGTTAAGCGGATAAATAATTTGAATCAGTGGAGCTTAAATCATCGTGACAAGACGACTTTTTAATTCGTTCAGGCTATAAGTCACTAGTTTGCATTGTATGAAAGCCGCTCAGCTGTTGTAGTCATGATATTTACCCTAACATTTAGTCGATATTTCCTATTGTATTGCTCATTTTTTGAACGTGTAAGCATATTTTCGTTTATAGTAGAAAAGAGTAAGCTGTCCTATGTTGAGGGTTGTTCCTATCTGACGTTGCATACTTACATATTTAAGAGATGTAAGTTACGTTAGGGCACATGATGTTTATCATTTGAAGTGTCTTTAGAGATTTAAAAAACAACAAGACACTATGACGTATCAACAAAACCACATTGCGAACAAAAAATCGATAAAACTGTAGCAAAACATGAACAAAGGTGAGACGTATATGGATACCCTTGGAAATGTATAACGCGAATAAGACCAGGTGTTCCGGAAGGGTAAGCGTCTTCTGCTACATCGACGACACCCGCCTTGTAAAAGGGTAGAAGATTTTGATGACCGATAAATCTTGATGAAAAACAGCAACAGCCTGCAGAAGATTTAAGAGAGATGGGGAAAATATCCTTGAAAATATAAACAGACAGATGTGGATAAAAAAACAACAGCGACAGGTTGCAGGAAATCAATCAGCAAATATCCTTGACAACCCAGATTACCATTGACCTTGTACCACGCTGTTGAACCAATGGAGAGTGTTCATTTGGATTTCCTTGGACCTTTGCATTGTACTGCACGTGGAAACGAATCCATCCTTATGATAGTTGATCAATTCTCGAAATGGGTTGAATGCAAACCTCTGCCACCTCAGACTGCAGTAAACCAGTTTTTACTCGATTTGGCTATCCCTTTCAAATCGTTACTGATCTGGGACACAATTTTGAAAGCAAACTATTTAAATCAATTTGTGAGGTCCTACATATACACAAGAGTCGGGACACAGCGTATCATCCTTCTGCTGACGAGCAAGTAGAACGCTATAACAGAACGAGTGCATATTTGGATGAGAGAATACAACAAGTTTTAGAGTGCCATTGGGGAACATGTCTGTATGAATTTTGACAGCTGACTTTACTTATTCGACACACTATGGCTATAAGTGAGCTGTTTAAGCGATTTAGAGTCGAGCCATCGTTTATTTACACTTTTTGTTTGACAAAGGAAACAGACGTTTTCGAAAGCTCGCAAAATAAGTTTGCAATTAATGTTTGTGTTCAATGCAAACTTAACCTTTAAGAATATACTGCAGCTCAATGCTCTCTAGTTATTTGTCTACTGCAGTATGTTGTCGGTGGATACCAAATTGGGACGAAACACGACCTTGTAACGTGACGATGTCACACCACTATTAGATTATCAATATTTCCATATTCTTAATCAACATTTCTATGATGTTATTCAAATGATACGCAAATCAGATAAGGCCTTAAAGAAAATTATTATTTCAAACGTATTCAATATTTACTAAAATAATATTTGTATAGATGCAACTATTATTTTATTTAATCAACAGTTACCCCAGCATGATAGTCATACATTTTCATTGTAGAGGAAGATTTCTCATGATGATCTGAACCTGTATTCACGAAACCTTTCTTAAGATGAAGCATGGATTCTAGGTGCTCACATCAACTTTTTTTGTAAATCACTTTCAAAAGTAAAATCTAGCCCTCAAAACGTGTTCGTATTCAACTCTAACCAAAGACTTACAAATTATTTAAATAATTGATAATTAATAAAGGTACCAGTGGAGCATGGAGCTGGGTTTTGACACTGAATTATATTTTAAGCACGAAATATTTTCATGAAGCTCTGAAATCTTCAAAATACAACATTCAAAACAAATATTTTACAACTGAATACCGTTTGGTGAGAATCCGAGTTAACCTCTCTGCCATATTTTGTTATGCAGATATAGTTAAATCTATTATATCGCAATAAATAAATTGAGAACTGGAAAGCGTATCCTTAACAATTATGATAGTTAGAAACCAGGTTGTTAACAAGCACATTAAATGATTGGTAGTAGCACAGTATGTAGAATAAGTCTCATTGCATTTTTGTCCTATGTAATCCATAAACGTTTAGGTTGCTTTTTACCATAATTCTCTGGGTAAACATTTCTCTTTAATTCTTAAGTTTCAGAAGGAATGGCGAGGATCCAGAAGCTGACAAAGATACCATGTAAGTTGTGTTTCTGTATGGTGCCCGTGTGTTCATTCGCCTGTCTTGTTTATTATGGATTGTTATTGGATTTAAAATACATAACAGATATCAAGTCAGACTCCAGGGGGAGGAACTATTCAAACCTCTCCTCGTTTGCTGGTGAATTCTTGTATCCAAAGATTCATGAAAATGTCAACTACATTGTCAACACAGAAACATGTCATATTCCTGACCTAGACCCTTACGGAGCTAGCATCAGCAAATTTATAGAAACGGAAAAACATTACGTGTGTCGACAATCGAACCTTATAACATACCGGAAAGGATTCAAAATAATTGTTGATAAAAAGGTTGTTAATAAGTATTATCGATTGTTTTTGAAATGTTCATATCAACCATATGTGAAACGAATTGGTAAAGAAATCGGGAAAAATGTCTTCTTATTTGACAAATTCCAAAATTTTACCGAGTTTGTCAACGTCACTGATGAATTTTGCACGATTTGTTGCTTCGATAAGAACGATATACTTCTCTTAAAACAACAATTCGCCTTCGTTATTAGAAATGCAACTTTGATAAAAATAAGAAAACAGGTCAGACAAATTAATAAAAGTAAAAATGCGAAAAGTCCAATGAATGTGCTTATGATTGCTTTGGAATCGACATCTCGTCTGAACTTTATCCGACAAATGAATTTTACCAGGAGATATCTTCAGAGCACCATGAAAGCTGTAGAACTGATGGGGTATAACAAATTAGGATTAAACACATTTCCAAACATGGTGGCGATACTGCTTGGGATCACAGTTGACGAAATGAATGATGACAATACATTCTATGACAGATACCCTTTTATATGGAAGGATTTCATGGAGGCCGGGTACGTTACTCTGATGGGTGAGGATACTCATGACCAGTCTTTATTCAATTACCAGCGTAAAGGTTTCAAATGGACACCGGTCGATTATTACATGCGCCCGCATGTGATGGCATTAGAGCAAAACAGTGGCAGCAATAAGACATGGTGTTCGGGAAACTTCCTTGTTCTTCAATCAGTACTCGATAAATTGGTAGAATTTGTGGCTTCCTACCGAGATGTTCCACATTTTGCGTTCACGTTCATAGGAAAACCATCACATGACAACAGCAACAGACTCGGTATAGTAGACCTGCCACTTTTGAGGACATTGACAGATCTAAATACACGTGGATTACTCGATAATACCGTACTTATGATATTTGGTGACCATGGCAGCAGATACGGGAAAATGAGGAACACATTTCAGGGTCGACTTGAAGAAAATTTACCTGCATTTTATGTTTTTCTTCCACAATGGTTTCGAAAAACACATAGTTATTTATTCGAAAACCTCAAAACAAATAGAAAAAAATTAACTAGTAATTTTGATGTTTATGCAACTCTTCAAGACATCCTGGGGCTTGGCAGAGGACACCTGTCACCGAAGTCTTCTGGAAAATATGGAACTAGTCTTCTTCGAAACATTAGAACTAAACGAACGTGTGCTGATTTGAAAATACCGATCTTTTTTTGCGCATGTCAGTCTTTTATTGAGACTTATTCATCTGAATCAAGGATTGTACATGAAATAGCACAGTGGGTTGTCAAAGAAATTAACACGATTCTTTTCAAAGTATCTCATTTATGTTCACATTTGACTCTAAGCGTCATTCGTCAGGCCTGGAGATCAGTTCAAAGAATTTTACGCAAGAAACCGAACATATCTCCTCCCACAGTAGACTTTGTCATACAGTTTAACGTTTTCCCCAGTAATGCTGTATTCGAAGCAACTGTTCGATATGTCAAGCAAGAGTTCATTCTACTTGGAGATATCTTACGTATAAACAAATATGTTGGGCAATCTAATTGTGTTTCAGGTCACAAAAATGCACTTGTTTTAGAAAGATATTGTTATTGTCTCAAATAGATTGGTAAGTTTTGAAGTGTGAAATGGGCCTCATAAATCCTATCTCCACCAATACATTTATCAACTTTACAAACAGTGTTTTGGAAACATGTCTTTCTCCCACCTCTAACTATGCAATATCCACTACCGCATATAGAATAGCCAAGTGATATAACAATATGCTATATAGGTGTAGCTTATGACCTCTAGACTGGAAATTTCATTTTTCCCTATTAGAGGTATCTTTTGAGTTTGAAATGTGCGATACTTAGTCGGCTGACGTTCTGAATCATGACGTCATTTAAATATTATACTTGGCATCATTTAAGTATCATTTTTGGCAAACGCATGAATACCGACAAAATTTAGTCGACAACTGAATTGATGTGACAAAAACAGATTTATTAAAACAAATTGTCCAGAGAGGCTCTTTAAAACTGCTTTAACTTTCAGTGTACAACGCGTATACCTTTTATTTCAAATATTACATACATGTACAAATTATGTATATATAAATTATTTCAAATCTGTATTGATCCTGTATTGACCATATCTCCTTTATCACCATATTTTCGACCCTATGTAAATTTCTATTCAGACCGTTCAGCGCTCAGAAAAACACTTTTTGTAATAAAATGCATTATTTATCCTATTGAACATAATACAAAAAATATTTGCGAGATTTTCATTAAAATTTTATATTTACAAAAAGAAGTGTTTAAGGTTGATAAGAAGAAAAGTAGCAATTCCATCCAGTTAAAACTTGCTATGTAACACATATCATCAGAGTATCCTAATCTAATATAATATGCTTTTTAATTTTTTTATTTTTAACCTCAAATTTGACCCACACAAGTAGTAACGTTTTTCTTAAAACCTGTCTTAAACTAAATATCATCTACTCGGTAACAGAAATACTCACGTTTTAGCATCGGTCATACCGGTGGATTTTTCACAATATTTACACATGTGCTGAGTACAAAAATAGACTACATGAAAAGCTAGCTTTTGTTGTGTAGACACAGGTTTGTAAATGGCCAAAAATGTAGTCTTAAACCAAATTCGTTTTTTTTTTTAAATGTAAAGCCTACATAGTCCATTTCATCATTTATATGCCAATTTTAGTGCTGATTTTTTTTTTAAAAGTTTTGATACATATAATATTTCAAGGGTCATTCATTGTACAAAAATATCACCCATGGCCACCGTACGCTACTGTACACTGCTACCATATTGTTCCTGACAGTGTTGTCAAACTTTTAGGCATGAACTTCGATTCATTTTTGAATATGGGCTGGTCGGGGAAAAAAAGTCATATTTGCTAAAATGGCATATACATGTTTAAAATACCTTCTTATGTAATATACTGATACAAATTTTGCTGAAATTCACTCCCTAAGAGTAAAAATTATAATTATATTAAAGAAATCCTAAATGGTCACCTGACAGTCTAAAACTCTCAATTGACCCAGATCAGTGATGTAATTTTACCGCACGCGCGTCATCAACAAGGCAAAATGTAAACATCGCGGCGAAAGAAAAAGATGCATGCAAAAGTCATGACAGGCACGAGGTATGAATACCGTTATATATAACAACAACATATAGGTAGGAATACTACGCTTGCATCATACATGACCTTTGAAAACAATTATTTACGTACAGTATTGCTGTCTTGTCCGCTAGTTAAGTCCGACATGGCACATGACGGCGTGCTATTGTTGTTATCTTCACTGCCTCACTTTCGAAACAACCACGTGACATATATAAATAGATCTGAGCTAAATACGCGGGGCTTCCCCGAGATTTCAGTGGTCAAACTGGACATTGCAAGCAGAACTCGACCATCATATTGCCGTGGTATAACTTTTGGAAGGCCAGAGAACGCATTTAGACCCATTTATTTTGTATTTTTTTCCCCGACCAGCCCCTTTAAAGCTCATATCTCTGACATTTGTAGGAAAGCCTCAAGGCAGTTGTCCATTTCAAAGCGAATTGGGATTTTTTAACCAAACAAGGTAGACTTGTAATTTATAATTCTTTTATTGTTTCAAACTGTTTAACTGCTGTCCTTTAGTATGGCACTCTTGTTCCATAAAGAGTGCAAGAAAGCTAGAAAAAGATACAAGAAAGAGCTTTAAGGTTTACATGTATACATAATGATCACAACTCATCCTTCAGACACTTACTCAGTATTACCAACAGCGATAGGCTACATGTAAGGCGTATGAAGGATAAGGTTGTGAGGTTTTTAAAATTATATACAAAATGTTTTCTGGATATATTAATAAACTTATAAATAATGGGATTTCTCAATATGACTTGGGGAAAGAAAATAATGCAGAGGTACCCAGGGTCAATTCAGTGAAGCATGGACAAAAATCGTTTGCTTTTGAGGCCGCCCGGGAGTAGAACAGTCTCCCAAATGTCGGTGAAATGATCTCCGAAAAGTTGAAAACTGCAAAGAATTCAGGAGGCTGGTTCATTCCTGGGATGGATCCACATGCCTTTGCACAATCTGTAAAGATTGATACTTCATTCTTTGCCCTGGTCACCTCTGCCACCTGACATTTTGGATTGTGTGATACTATTTTTGTCTTTAATTCCATACATTCTGAAATATGATTTTCTTTTTAAAGTTGACAAATTTCACACAGTATTAGTGTATATTCCACTTCATAGTGTTTTAATCCTACGTCCTATGTAATTCTTGTGTGGTATACAAGTATTCATTCACTATTAACTATGTCTTTTATTTACTTAATCTGAATGCTACTTATCTGTGATCAAATTTATTGCGTTTCATATATTAACACTATTTATTATATATTTATTGTTTCCAAAGGGTCATATCCCACTGCCTTTGTAGGTAGGGGATTCCAAATCATTTAGAAACCTTTTTTGTGTGATAATTACTACTGTTTTTTTTATTGATATATGTGATTATCTCCCTTTACTTGTAATATAATGTGTTATTGTTATTTTACATATGTTTGTCGCAATAATAGCTCTAAAGAGCCAATGTTCCTTGTTTACATGTATGCGAATTTGAATAAAGTTTCTTGTATCTTCTATCTTGTATCTTGTAAGATCATGTTTGACTGAATTCCCTGCTATATCAAATGTTCATTATCATTCATGCACATAGGAGTTAGAAATATCACGTCACCATTTTAGTAAATTATTACAGAATTATCAGAAATATCCTGTTTAATTCCGTATACTGCTATGTTTTCTAATTAGTTACTTAAGTACGAAATATCGATCATATTTAACATTGATACTTCGTTTTCAAGTAGAAAACGGTGTTTTCCTTGTTCAACCCTCTCTCTTATTCATATAATTCTATTTCCCTAAAGTGCTTGATTAGGTGGGCTGTGTTTTTACGCTATGCTATGATAAACATTGCATAGTCCAAATACTTAATACAGATATTGTAACTATATTATAATGTTTCAACTATTGCTATTTACTTTAACCATCAATAAATATAAACTCAAATATTGAGGTGTCTGTTATTGCCGTTTGTTTAGATACTCTACGACACTATATATATAGCTACGTAACAATACATTTGTACGAATTCCATAGTATCTTTATATATGATTTCATCCGATATGGAACATATTAATGAACCACTCGTCTGGCGCAGACTTTTGGCTATATAACGCATTTGTCTTCACATTAACGTGCTTTGTGTGTATGCATCATGCTGTTCATTTCTTGGTCTTTGCACTTGAGAAAAGTGACCTTCCAACTGCCATAACATCTGCGATGACAATGAGTCCAAACAAAGACATGATGAGAATCGCTGCTGTTTGACAGTTTGTCCTACAACCTGTGAGGACGGCCGGTCATCGGGGGCACAGACAAGGGACTTTTTGTACGCTATTGAATACAAAAAAAGATACAATTTATTCAGACTCAACATTGTTTATAAGAAGAACGAATACGTTAGACTACTTTATTTTTGCTGAAGAATGAATTCACGATGACTTGAGTGAGCAAAGGCAATAAGAAGTATGCTTAAAATATTCGCAAGATGAAATAAACGTTGATTGTTTGGTTTCTACAAACAATATATCCAAAAATATGCTTTATATTCTATTGATTAATTTACGCAACAAAGTGGATGAATCTCCGTGTGGAGATCAGTTCCCGAGTTTGGCCGAGCCTTGTTGCTGAAATTTATTCTAGCTCGTTTTACATGAAAAAATATTTTAAAAAAAGATATTTCCCCTTGTAGCCAAACATTATAAAGGTTTTGTATGCATCTTTCCCTTTTTACTTTACATATTACATTTTGTTACATAACTGACCCATTTAATATGTCATACGGCCATGTCATAGATATGGTATTACGCACGTGTGAAAAAACCTTAAGGTGCTGTGAGTAGTCAAAACGGACGGGAATATTGCTACGCCAGTACAAAATTGTGAACTTTATTAACTGATATTTTTTCTGATAAAGTTTAATGTTGTTTTATTAAATTAATTTGAAATATGTATTTTGTCATAATTATTTTCGTTGCATTTAAGATTGTTCATAATAAAAAAAAATGGAACTACTTTGCACTGTGCGGAACGACAATACTATGATCGGGGTACTTTGGTTTTAACCTTTATGTCAGTCAGCTGATAGCACTTAATTGTTTTTGAAGTTACTTTTCAAATTATGAATGTTATGTGATAAATATGATCTTACATGAGTGTTGATTTTTTTTGTCATTTAAAAACAAATTATTGACATGCGTACTGCCTTTCTTCATATTCCTTGTGATTAACTTTACTGTCTTCCCCAATGTGAATTCACAAAAACAGATACATCTCAATATAAATCTGTCTTATTTTCAGTAATTTGGTGCCATCCATTCCTATCAGCGTATTGTGGGCTAAGCAATGGAAATTTAATGATGACAATAGCGGATCCATTTTCACCATTTTCCTCAATTTTTCCCCACATGGAACCCCGCCCAAAGATAGGTCTCTGGTTCTGCTACGATGTTTACTGACTTACATGACGTGTTCTTTGCATCGATGACTGTTTCCTTTTTCAGTTGCTCTAGGTGTTGTGTAAATGCCTCCAAATCATTTTTAAACTCAACGTTGTACAGCTCAGAGGGACAGGTACATTTCAGATAGCCACACTCTGCAACTGTCGCAAAGAAAGCCATTATTATACATCTTTCGTAATTTGCTGTGTCTAATATGAGATATATCTATCTGGTAAGAATATATTTATAATATGTAAAGTCTTCCGTGCGTTTGCTTCAGTTGTGGTCCGGAGTGTAGCTTTGGCCACGGATGGTTCCCAATCTACAACATAAAGGATGGTTCTCCGTCTACAACATAAAGGATGGTTCTCCGTCTACAACATAAAGGATGGTTCTCCGTCTACAACATAAAGGATGGTTCTCCGTCTACAACATAAAGGATGGTTCTCCGTCTACAACATAAAGGATGGTTCTCCGTCTACAACATAAAGGATGGTTCTCCGTCTACAACATAAAGGATGGTTCTCCGTCTACAACATAAAGGATGGTTCTCCGTCTACAACATAAAGGATGGTTCTCCGTCTACAACATAAAGGATGGTTCTCCGTCTACAACATAAAGGATGGTTCTCCGTCTACAACATAAAGGATGGTTCTCCGTCTACAACATAAAGGATGGTTCTCCGTCTACAACATAAAGGATGGTTCTCCGTCTACAACATAAAGGATGGTTCTCCGTCTACAACATAAAGGATGGTTCTCCGTCTACAACATAAAGGATGGTTCTCCGTCTACAACATAAAGGATGGTTCTCCGTCTATAACATAAAGGATGGTTCTCCGTCTACAACATAAAGGATGGCTCTCCATCTATAACATAAAGGATGGTTCTCCGTCTACAACATAAAGGATGGTTCTCCGTCTACAACATAGAGGATGGTTCTCCGTCTACAACATAAACGATGGTTCTCCGTCTACAACATAAAGGCTGGTTCTCCGTTTACAACATAAAGGATGGTTCTCCGTCTACAACATAAAGGATGGTTCTCCGTCTACAACATAAAGGCTGGTTCTCCGTCTACAACATAAAGGATGGTTCTCCGTCTACAACATAAAGGATGGTTCTCCGTCTATAACATAAAGGATGGTTCTCCGTCTGCAACATAAAGGATGGTTCTCCGTCTACAACATAAAGGATGGTTCTCCGTCTACAACATAAAGCAGAAACCAAATACAACAGCGAAGTCAAGTACCAGCAAGATGATTTTATCGATTGCATTTTTATGGATTAAATTGATAATGGCTGTGCTGCTTGTACCTATCTATATATATATTCATTGCAATTCTAATATTATATAATTAACAGACGAATTGTTCCTATGATCATGTCGGGGTAATGAATGCATGCAAAATGTAATTTATCAACTTTATGTTGAAGAACCGATGCATTCTTAAACATGACATGAAATAATTATATAATTTTTATATCCACAACCCAACCGTTGAGTTTTCTATAGAATGATTGATATGAGTGATTTAATATTTTTGAAATATCGCTACAAGTCTGATGCCTTAACCACATTCTAATCTTATAGGTAACATTAGACGCCATTTATGTACCACTTTAAAAAGATCATACCTTGTTGCTGTCCTAAGACAGATTTAGTTAGGAACATTATCAAACTTTTAATCTTATAAATTAACATTGATTACAAAGTACAATGTTCCAAAACGCCTTTTCTGATTGTGTAATTCTTCATGTCATTGAAGTTATGCATAAAATAATACTTATTATTTTTCCCCAAAAAAATGCAAAAAATCTTTCGAAAATGTATGTCAAATACATTGATGGAGACCGCAAGAAAATGAAGTATGATGTATAATACTAATGATTTCCCCTATCAAAACAGACTGTCTAGCATAACATATCCAAGTGTTACATTATAACGAATTATCTTAATATATTTGATCATACACGTGTATATAAATAAAACATATGTCTTATCATTAATAACGCGTTAGGTCTTTCGGGCGCTCCTTTCAGTCGTCATCGAGAGAGTAGATGATGACTCGGATGGTTCTACGTCTATAAAACAAAATATAAACAAACTACCACAGTGTCATCAAACACCGGCAAGATCAGTTATCA